AAAATAGATGTTGATATCAGTCCCCAGTTTAATGTAAAGAGTATGTCGTGGGAAATAAACTTTCACTTACTTGTGCATATTTTTGCAGCTTATGACTTTCTTATTTTGTCATGATCATCCATGATTATTTTTTATAAAATCGTGTCACTAACTTTTTTCCGGTTTTTATTTATTAATTTTCCAAACTCTCTAGAAATAACCCTTATCAAATGGATTAGGCAGTGAATTGAATTAACTTCAGAAAACTTATTTGAGGAGGACACTTTTATAGGTGTAAGTATACCTAATTTCGATTCAGCTACAATTCAATAGTCACTAGTGAAAATATTTTCTGCTCCTGTTCCATTTTCCCACTTTCTAACCTAAGCAACAGATTTCTCTATATTGACTGTTTCAGGCTCGATATTTTTGCTTCCAGAAGGCTCTTATCATTGCTGCTAAGATGTTTCCTTCACTCACGTCATCCTTCAAAACATGTGTAGCTACGTAGCTAGTGATAGATGATATTTGCACCAAAGACCGATTTCTTCACCTTCAGTGTCAGGTATGCAATCTGGCGGATGAAAACCCAATCTGTAATCCCATTGGTCGGCCACTTATCCGCCGATCAAAAGAATTATAGTACGGTAAATTTATTTTGCAAAAAGTTACCAGCAAGTTTATCTTAAGATGAATAAACCGAGCCTAAGAAATATATTTCTTCCATATAAGCAAAATAAAACCAAAATACAAAAATTTGTGTTTATTTTATGGAAAAACAGTTCAAGTTTATTTAAATTGCGCAATACCAAATTACAGTTTTTGATAAATTGTAAATTTTTAGAAATTTTTCGAATTACCTTGGTTTGAGATAATGCGACTACATAAAACGCATCCGAAAAAGTTGAAGTAAAGCCGTAGAAAAACACTTTTGGTCTTGAGGGTTAAGGAACCTTAAAAGGTATAATCCTAAAATCGCTTTTCTGTAATTATCACTCTGCTTATACGAAGATCTTATTAAAGATAGATTAATTTATTATTGCTACATTAATGGATTCAACCATTAGGCTGATTAATTGGCCATCGACAAGAAACGTGAATAAATTATTTATGAATGAATTGTGATAATGATTGGAACGGTACTAGTGTGAGCAATTTAATCCATAAAGAATTAGCGCGATGTGAAGTGTATCAATCAGAATGCGAAATTGTTACATACAAAAATTTATTTAGTATCTAAGTAAGAACATACAGTCTTCCCGACGATAATAATCTAAATTAGATTTTTCTATGAAAGGAAAATCCTAGTTTAAGCTGACTAATGACTATTGTTTCTTGATATGCTGGATTCTGCGAAGGACCACCTAACTGTTGTTAGGAAATTAAACACTTGTTTTTCTGAGACTGAACTTTTCCATAATTTATTCAGTATGGTAGTACAAGCATGCACAACTACAGCAACAACAACTTACAACGCTTCGTTTTCTGATAATAATCATAATAATTCTGACCACACAGGTTATGTTTCTCTAACTGTCAACAAAAATGGCTTCACGCTCCCGCTCTTTCTTCTTTTCTTCTTTTTTTTATTTTATAAAAGCAACAAACCAAGAAATTATTTAAATTTGCGAGCCAAAGCGCCGTTGCCACGTTGACATAAAATGAAAATAATAATCAAAAACTGTACAGTCTTTGAGCGTCTTCAGAATTTTAATGTCAAAATCAATGTTGGTAAATGTAAATTTTTTCAAAATCAAGTTGAGTTTTTGGGTCATATTATTGATGAAGCTGGAATACATCCAACAGAAGAGAAAGTGGTGGCCATTAAAGCGGCACCTGCGCCTAAAACAGTTACCGAATTGAAGTCATATTTAGGTTTATTGAATTATTATGGTAAATTCATCCCAATGTTATCAACAAGATTGAAACCTTTGTATAAACTATGTCAAAATAATATCAATTTTTCCAAATGTTGGTCCAAGGAATGTGCCAATATCTTTCAAGACAGTAAAGAATGGTTAACATCAGAGAGTGTATTGACACATTATGACCCAACTCTCCCAATTTATGTCACTTGCGATGCGAGCAGTTATGGTGTGGGGTGCGTTTTAAGTCATAAGATAGGTGATGAGGACAAACCTGTCATATTTGCTTCGAGTACATTGTCAGCGGCAGAAAAAAATTACAGTAATTTAGAACGCGAAGCTCTTGCTATTATTTTTGCTTTGAAAAAATTGCACAAATACCTTTATGGTCGTAAGTTTATTCTGGTTACTGATCATCAACCACTACAATTTATTTTTGGACGTAATAAGGGCATTCCGACATCAGCCGCTGCCAGAGTCACCCGTTGGGCTGTCACCCTATCAGGGTATGAATATGACATTAAATATAAAAAAGGTACTTCTATTTCCAATGCAGATGGTTTGTCCCGTCTGCTTTGCAATAAAGGAACCGAAGTTCCCGATTTTCTTTATTCTTTTAACTTGGTGAATCAGATGCCATTAAACTGTTGCGATATTGCCAACGAAGTAGCTAAAAACTTCTTAAAGTAAAGGATTTTATTCTATCAGGATGGCCTGATTTTGTATCAGACGAAAATTTAAAGCCTTACTTTAAAAAGCGCAATGAACTGTCTATAGAACATCATTGTATAATGTGGGGGAATAAAGTAATTGTATCCAAGACTTTACAAAAAGATGAACAGCATAATGGCATTGTGAGAACAAAAATGTTGCTTCGTTCCTTTTGCTGGTGGCCTAATATAAGTTTAGATGTAGAAAAATTTATATCTTGTTGTGATATATGCCAACAATGCCAAAATTTCACAAATTCTAATACTGCCTTAATGCCATGGTCATCTGCACCTCGAAATTTTTACAGAGTGTACATTGATTTTTTCGTTAAACATAAGTATGTTTTTTTAATTCTAATAGATCAAAGATCAAAATGGATCGAAGTCAAGCTAATGAATAATGGCACAAATGCGTTAGAAACAATTTCAAAATTAAAAGACATATTTGCAGTCTTTGGCCTCCCAGTGGAACTTGTATCCGATAATGGGCCGCCATATAAGTCTAGCGAATTTGTGGCATTTTGCCAGGCAAATGCAATTAAACCCATCAAGTCCCCTCCTTATCACCCACAGAGTAATGGTGCAGCAGAGCGTAGTGTCCAGACTGTAAAGAAAGGATTAGAGAAAGCATTATTTCCTCAAAAAGGGGAAGATGTTTCAAGAAATTTAATTTTAAATAAGTTGCAAAACTTCTTGTTTACATACCGGAACACGCCCTTTACTGTAACAGGCATTTCACCTGCTGAAGGAATATTTAGAAATAAACCAAGAACAAGATTTGAATTGCTAAAGCCATCTTGTCATAACAATCAAAGAACATCAAATATAGATAAGCGTACGCTTTACAAAGTCAACGATCAGGTTTTTATTAAGAACAAACAGACGAAGTTATGGCAAAAGAGCATAGTAATGAAAGTCCTTAGTTACTGTACATATTTGGTCAAATGTGAAAACAATATTAAGTTTGTACATTCAGGCGATTTACGTGATGGGGGAGAGTGCTCCCAAAAGTGTCGCTCGGAAGCTAGTGAATCAATTTTGGAGGAATCTGAGAAGCAACAGGTACCTAATATCAGTGCCGCTTCGATGGAATCTGAAATACCTTGTGAAATCATCAGACCACCAATATGTGAACTTGTTACACAATCTGTGCCTACATCAGAATCCGATGACCAGATTCAAAATCCCTATGTAAATGAACCGCCTCGTGTTAGGGAAGTTGCGATTAAGCCACAAGAAGCTCAGAGTACCAGACGCTCTATTTCAGCTTCCTCTGCGGTGCATACACGTTCTGGTAGAATTGTTAAGCCTCCAGTAAGATTGAACCTTTGAGTCTTTGTCTTACGCGGGGAGAAATGTTATGTTTTACCAGTTTATAAAAATACCTATTTTAATTGTTATAGATTGTCATTGTCATATATGTTAATAGCAGTCGGTCAGTGACAAAAATTATAATCATTTTGTGTTGGCTAATAAAGTGAATTAAAGTTCAGTAAGTGTGTTACAAAACACAACATTTCTGTGAAGAAATATTAAACAGAAAACAAACAAATACATTCCATACACCATAAGCACATTTTTCTGTTTAAATTTTAATCTACAAGACGCTCTGAAGCTTAGATTATATATTATTATTCGGAACATTCTCGTTTATGACAAAAATACTTTTTCCTACGAGCGTGCGCAAAGTAGTACTTTTCCGCACGCATTTCCGGGCTCAAAGTTACACTTTTCCGCACTCAGTGCGGATACAGGCCTTATGCAAACACGTATCCGAACTCCGCTGTGCGTCGTTCGTATAACTGTGTTTGCGTGCGGAAAAGTAACACTTTGCGCACTGGTTAGGAAAATAACTATTTCCAAATTTCAACTATTTTCCCAAAAGATTATGCTATACCTAAATACTGATACATGTTTGCTAGATATAAAGTTCTCAAAGTTTTCTCGTTCATGTATCTAGATGACACTCTGATGACAAAACAGGTTTTAATCAGTTTTTTCCTAAGGTGTTCAGTGTGTTCATTAAAGTTCAAAAATTTTTCGATATATTATATTCCTAGGAATTTTGTGCCAATATTTGAATAAAACTTTTACAAATGGTTTAATTTAGAGATATGTACTACAAATATTCTGGACATATAAATTAGACACTCAAAATTGCTCCTGTTTTTGATTTCCCTTTCGTGCTATTAGGGAATAAAAAAGTAAAGATATTCCCCATGTCACAGGTTAATACACACAGATGTCATCTCCTAGGCGGCCCCGTAACTTTTCATTAAACCCAACTGGAACATAATAAATTTACTCCAGACGACACCCCCTATTCTCCTTTTTTTTTCTCCCAGTGTACTTTATGCGGTTCATCCCTTGCATCTAGATGCGCTGAATGAAAATTCTCGGCCCACGTAAAGACCGATTTGAACCGATCCAACCCGAATAGGCCACCATATAATCTGGGCGCTTTTATGGATCGGTGTGAAAAGCGAACTTTACACCGGGAAAGCTTCCAGTTACGTGAATTTCCTCCTCCTGGAAAACCCTCCCCCAAGTGGCATTCGTGCGAGCGAAAAGGACAACTTTAAAAGACCCCATCTCCTACGTTCGTACAGGTACAAGTTTCATTCAGTTGTTCTGAGTTTCTATTGGAGTGAAGACGGTGGTGGTTTTTGTGTAGAGAGGTAGGTAAGTTTTTCCTTTAGACTTCAATTTTATTAGATTTTTATCAAAAACTTTCCTTTAAATATTTAATAATTAAGTTTCAAAAAAAAGTGTTTTGATATACATTGGATTTAAATTATTGTGATACTATGTTTTTTTGATATGTTAAATATTGAAGAAAGTATCGCGCAGTAATTATTTGATTTTACACTGCGGAAGGCTGTGAAACGTACCTACATAATATCGATTTATTGAAATTTGTCTAAGTTAAAGGTTTTAATCAGAAAACACATTAGCTAACGTGAAACGTGATTTCCAACAAGAAAGATGTACATACACAGAGAAGTAAAATTGGTAAAAATAACTTTTTTAGCTTAGTCCAGGCTATAAAGTCAAGTTAGATCTGGGAGAGTCACTATGAGAGAAAATCTATAAATTGTTTATATCAACAATTGCTTTGTAAGTTTATTCAAATGGTTGTGAATTGATGTATAGTCTATTTACAACCAAACTTTTATCAGATATTTTTTATTCTTTTTAAGCAAAAAGAATAACATTCTTTCTTATTTACCAATCATCGCGTGAAATTTAAAATTGCCAACCAAAATTGCTCCTTCTGGGAAATTCCGTTTTCCTTTTTAAGCTTTTTCCATCAGGAAATTGTTTTTTTTTTCTTGTATACGAGGCAGTTTTCTTTTTGGAGGCTCAAGATTTGTTCCAATTTGAAAATAAAATATTTAAAATACCATCTCCACGGTTTGCCTGAGATTTTTAAAAGCAATATAAAATCACATCCATAATAATATGATGAAGTTTGAAATCAGAATGTTTTCAAAATATTGAAAAGAATGCTGTGCATGGTCGTATAATAAATGTTTTTTATAAAGGGAATTATGGAAAGGTTTTCAAAAATGCTAGAGTCTACGGAAGCGTAGAGAGGCCACCGCTTGTAAAAAAAAAAAATTCCGACTTGTAACTCGGAATTCCGACTTGTAACTCGGAATTATTCCGACTTACAAACTCGGAATCATTCCGACTTGTAACTCGGAATTATTCCGACTTATAACTCGGAATTCCGACTTGTAACTCAGAATTCCGTCTTGTAACTCGGAATTATTCCGACTTACAAACTCGGAATCATTGCGACTTGTAACTCGGAATTATTCCGACTTATAACTCGGAATTCCGACTTATAATTTAGAACTCCGACTTGTAACTCGGAATCGAAATCCGTGCGATCGAGTAATCGATTCCTTCGAAAACGGCGGATAAAACTTATATAGGCGGATAGAAAACATCGAGGCGAATTCGGAAAAATCACTAAAAAAATTCCATGGCCAACTTAGCCACCTGTCAATGTCAAATTTTTGACAGGCGGAAGGAATTTCAAAAAAAGGGCTCCGTCTTGCTCAAGATTTTTTTAAGGCGTTTCGGAAACAGCAGGCGAAATTTTGATGACGGTTGTCATGCGACCGGAATTTGTTTAATAGGGTAAACGGCCTTTCCCCCCTTACAAGGTGGAAACCTCAAACTTGGTGGAGTATGTTTATTCAACGTGGCCGACCTGTTGGTGTCACAAAATTTTGACAGCTGTCAACGTCAAAAAAGTTATTTTTTCATTTCTCGGAAAAATAAAAATCCGAGTGTCAGAAAAGTTTCCTTGGACCCAAAAACCCCTTAAAAAAATTTGACATTGACATACGTCAAAAATTGACGGCGGAAACAGGAAAAACGTCATCTTTGACATACGTCAACTTTCCAAGATGCGTTCGGATAGAACTTTGGTCGCTAAACACTTTGGCGATATCGACAGATGTCAAATTTGACACATTTCCGTTTTTTTTTTTCGCTCCACTATAAAGGCTACGACATCCAAACCTCGGTAGAAGGCGGTTTTGGGACGTCAACTATCGGTTTGCGTCGAAAAAATTTGACAGCTGTCAACGTCAAAAAAGGTTTTTTTTTTTTGCGAATTTCGAAAAAAAAAAAGTAGCGGAAAACGTTGCGCCGACCCCGGAAACCCTAAATAAAAATTCCCATCGATATACGTCAAAAACTGTCAGAGTGACAGCACCAAACGTAATTTTTTGACACATGTCAAATTTTCAAGAAACGACCGGATATACGTTTTGTCATTTTTTAAATTGCTTTCAATTGCCGATGACGTCTGTCATCCTACCTCACCTGCTTGTCACTTTTTTGACGTTGACAGCTGTCAAAATTAAAGGAGGAATTTTTTTAGTATTTTTTACGTATTCGCAGAGCCCTAATCTATACGGATGCACCGGTTTCGTCGCCATCCGATTTAAAAAATTATTACTCGGCCGCGCGACTGTGACAGATGTCAATTTATTTTTTTTCCCAAATCGATTTATTTTTCAAAAATAATAAGCGTGGTGAAGTCCTTTTTTTGATATTGACTCTCCTTGTCATACTTTCGGACGTTGACAGCTGTCAAAATTGGCCGTTTCAAAAAAAGGACTCCGTCCCTCTTTAGATTTCTTTAAAGTGCTTCCAAATCACCAGGTGCATTTTTTTTTAACAGCTATCATGCGACTGGTATTGGATGCAATAAGGTCGTTTGCCTTTCCCCACAATCCCCACGCTTTACCTTACAAGCGAAAACCACCAAACTCGGTGCATAACGATTATTCAACGTTGGCCACCGATCGGCGTTGGAAATTTCCGACAGCTGTCACCGCTTGTCATATTTTTAGGTTTGACAGTCATAGCTGTCTATTTTTTTTTTAAGCGACTCGATATGTGCGAGACGAATCTCTTTTTTCGATATTGTACCTGCTTGTCAAATTTTTGACATTGACAGCTGTTAAAGTTGGCCATGGAATTTTTTCAATATTTCCAACGTGTTCACCGAGGTGAAATATGTACGCCCAAGTGAGTTTGAATTTTTTTTGACAGCTGTCAATGTCAAAAATTTTTACCTTTTCTTTTTTTCAAAAAACAAAGGTCAGAAAACGATCCCCAGGCTCCGAAAACCCTAAAATAAAAAGTTTCATCGATATATGTCAAACACTAACGGCCTGGCGACGCCGAACGTATTTTTTGACATATGTCAAATTTCGAGGACGTAGTCGGATATAATTTCAGTCGTCTTACACTTTAGTATCGATATCAAATGTCACCTGTCAAATTTGACAGCTGTCAATTTTCAGGAAATAGAAGAGTTCGGAAAAACTGACCGCACCACCGGAAATTTCCTGAAAAATGATAGAAAACCTCGAATTTTTGTTGACAGCTGTGATTTAAAGGAAATACGTCACATCCGCCTTCTTGACCTTATCTATGAATCAAAAGAACTTACAAGTCGGAATTCCGAGTTACAAGTCGGAATAATTCCGAGTTATAAGTCGGAATAATTCCGAGTTACAAAGTCGGAATGATTCTGAGTTTGTAAGTCGGAATAATTCCGAGTTACAAGTCGGAATTCCGAGTTACAAGTCGGAATAATTTTTTTTTTGATAGGTGGCCTCTCTGCGCTTCCGTAAGAGTCCTAGTAACTATTGGGTCTCATAAAAAAATAACTCGCAAAAAATTTAAGTTTATCAATTTGTTACATCCATCCCATATTGATTTTTCCAAAGGTATAAGTCCGTCTGGTATGGGTGAACTGAAAAGAAATACAGTTCCCTCCATTCTGGCTACCTTCATCATTTTCTTTAAGATGGAGAATTTGCCTGATGTCCTGGTTTGCCTCTTGATCTTATCGAATGTAATACCACAAGAGGTTTCAGGATTACCGGATAATACTTTTACCTGTCACGAAACGCGTTACGCAGCAATACCACGACTCCGAAGGAGGAGTGGTGTTGCTGGTAACGCGTTGAGTGTCAGGTAAAAGTAGAGGAGAAGGTGCAAATATGGAATATGCTTGTAATATGGAATACCTTGGTTTTGTCTGAACCAAGTGCCGCCATCTGTCGAAAAACGGCTAAAATTGTGAGTTTATGTCATTTTTATTGGCGGCAAACTGTCACGCGCCATTTTTGTGAGGTTATAGCTAATCGTGTGTGTACATGTGAATTTCGGCTGCTGGAAATTTTAACACGTAAGTAAATATGCAGGCCTACTTTTGTTGCTTGCATGTTTTTATTTAAATAATTGTTACGATGCTACTGTATAGGAACTAAAGTTTAGGCTCACGTTGCATTTGTTTCCGTTTTAGTTGTGATGTGCTGATTCCAACCTCGAATATGGATGACATAGGTTGTCGCAAATATGGAATACTAGTATTCCATATTTGCATCACGTTTTTTTAATCGAGTTTCTCACTGATTTCTTTTTTTAGGATGCCACGAAAAACAGAACGTCGGCCTTGTGATCATAAAAGAAAGCAATACAAGGAAGAAGACATGGCTAGAGCAATCAAGGTAGTAAGAGATAAAACAATGGGATATCTCAAGGCATCCAAAACCTTCAGGGTTCCCCGTACAACGCTCTTTCGTTTAAGTCAAAACAACACAGTTCCACCAGATAAAGCTGCAGCAACCAAGCTTGGAAGAAAATGTGTTCTGGGATCAGAGCTCGAGAAGCTCTTAGTTGATTACATTTTGAAAATGGAGTCCAAATTTTACGGGCTGACAATGATGGATCTGAGGCGCATGGCCTATCAGTTGGCCATGAGAAATAAAATCAAACACCCGTTTTCTACATCTGGAATAGCAGGCAGAGCCTGGATTGATTTGTTTTTGAAGCGACATCCAACATTGTCAATAAGGAAGCCAACGGGGACATCGTTCGCAAGAGCTGCAGGTTTTTGTAAAGAAAGAGTAAACGGCTTTTTTGACCTCCTTGAAAAACAAATGCCTTATTCCCCGAACAACGTTTATAATGTAGACGAAACAGGCTTAACGATTGTCCAAACTAAAGTATCGTCAGTTATAGGTCTTAAAGGCAAACGTCAAGTTGCTTCATTAACATCAGCAGAGAGAGGGGCTTTGATTACAGTTATTTTTTGTACGAGTGCGGCTGGAAACTTTGTTCCTCCCTTGATCATTTTTCC